TCTCCAAAAATTGAAGAACCTGTCCAGAATTCCTAAACAAGCACTAGAAGACAGACAGAGTAAAGTGCTACAGTCTTGAATTCTTGAACAACGGCTAGAAGACAGATTCTGTGGAAGAAGGAATCCTTTCTCAACAATTGGGTACGTCCAACCACCCACTTCAACGAAGAATCTTCAAATCACAATCTTCATTCAAAATTGAAGCCAGCAAATGCAACGGATAATCTATTATGATTCAACGGATAGATTATCCAATCCAGCTATAAATAGCATCCTTGGAAGACTGAAGAGAATACGATGAGATACGTTGATACAACAACACAACGAAGCAATCACTAAAGCTATCTCATTCACAGTTAACCCAAAAAGCTTGATAAAGAGAGATTTCTAAACTCCTTATCCAGAAGCAAACTTCTCCTCCTTCCAAAAAGCTATAGTGTAAACACTTGAAGGTTTCCTTGCCTCAAGCACCACACCACGTTGGGAAGGCGAAGCTTTTCTCCCAATTTCTTTTGCGAAAGCTTCACTTTTGTACCTCCAACAGTGGACTTGATGACTGGAAACGTCCTCTGTGGGTTCTTCTTTGAATGAGCAGTTTTGACCTCTCCATTTCTGTAGAATTCAAGAACTTCTTCCTCGAATTTGAGGCGAATCTCCATTTGATGAAATTCGGAGAGTTCTTGAGCGGCTATCATTTTCAGATAGCTTTGAAAGAATGTCGGTGATGAGCACTTGGCTTCTAACTTCTGGAAGTGGACATTTGCACCGACAACCTTCATTTTCTCAGAAATTTGAGTGAGAATTTGAGAGAGAAAGGTCTAGGGTTCTTGCGAGTTCTCTGAGAGTTTTTCGCGAAGAAGACGACGAAAAATTTTGAGTGGGCGGTTGAGATCTGAGTGGTGGCGATTGGGTTTAATTTAGGCGATTTTGTGGTTAGTGGCGATTGGGTTTTTGACTATTCCCAAGGCCACGTGCCTACCCAATATATTGAGATGTACTCAATTTTGATATCTTTCTTTTCCACATGATCTCTGATGAAGTGATGCTTGACATCAATGTGCTTAGTGCAAGAATGATGCACTGGGTTTTGAGAGATGGCTATGGCACTTTGATTGTCACAAAAGATTGTCACTTCCTTTTTCTTGACTCCATAGTCCAGTAGTTGTTGCTTTAGCCACAAAATTTGAGCACAACAACTACCAGCTGCAATGTACTCTGCTTCTGCTGTAGATGTAGAAATGGAATTTTGTTTCTTACTGAACCAAGAAACAAGATTTCCACCAATGAATTGACAAGTACCAGATGTACTTTTCCGGTCAACTTTGCATCCGGCAAAGTCAGAATCTGAGTATCCCACTAACTCAAATGAATTGCTCTTAGCATACCACAAACCCATGTTCTGAGTTCCTTTGAGGTATCTAAGAATCCTTTTAGCTGCTATCA